CTGTTTCATCGGGTTTGAAATCGGGCCTGCCAGTGACGCGGGCAAAGATAAGGTGGACTAGCCAGACAAGCTGGACACTAGTGCACAGAAGTAGCAAACGGGCGCATTTTTCGTTGTGATGTTGCCTGTAGAATGCAGCCGATGGTTGTGTTAATTCTTCCTGATGCACCACTCACATATTCGTTGCTATTCCGCTGTGATTCCCTTTTCTTTGTCTCAGCGGGTCTATATCATGATGATTCCGTTCGAGTGGCCCCCACAATTTCCAAGATTGTTAACATATGGTTGCCAGTATCCCGATTGGCCCTCTTAATCGCAATTGCCAGTAGAGCGAATCTACGAATATCAGTTCAAATACGGCTACCACGATTCCACTGATATCTACCCTGCTGTTGCCACTAACCTCAGGAGGTCTTTAGTTTGGATCCCCACCCCTTTTCATTCGACGGTGAAAAGGGCTGGTCTTAAAACCTCTTCCTCCTCATCCCCCCTCTCCCCCTCCTTCTGGTCCTCCTCCTTCTGCTCCTCCTCCCCCTCGTCCTCCCCCCGCCCTCCAGCGGATGCCGCGGAAAAAACTAAAGTAGTTACCCCCTAATGGTGGGACCCCAGTCCTTCAAGGCCGCCGAAAAATAATCAGTTACCCCTTATTGGGTGAGTTCTACAGACTTATCGCGGTTACACCTCCCGGCATTATTTTACAAAGTGATGTCATGTCGTTACAGCATTGTCAGGCGCCACATGTTCAGACAGGTTTTGGATGAAGAGACGTTGCTCCCAAGCGTCCTCGAACGCCGTCAGAGCGTACCAGAGCGCTCTGGAGAGTCCTCGGCTCCCGATGTGGTGTCCGGACCCGCCAGCTCTTAGAGATGTTTGATGAATCTCGTTCCGAAGTTGTCTTCACCGTGCCTTCGTCTTGCATGGTAGTGTGCATCGTCCTTCCACGACACGGTTGGGGCTCTTGCAGCCTACGGATGTTGATATTATACCCGATGCCCAGAGCTTCCGCCAGCAGGGCTCGAGACTCGCGCGATTCTTGGGGCCCGAAGCCCGTGCGATTTGCACGGCCAGCGTCGAACTAGAGTCCCGTTTGCTTGTGCTGCTCTTCATCATACTCCTGCTCGTCCTCCTGCTCCCCAAATCTCCGACGTCTTGATTTTTACCACAATGTCCTTCCCCGGAGGCCTCGCCCAGTTCCCCGAGGCATGACATGTTTTCCACACAGAGTAGTTGTTCGTTTGACGGTCCCGGGGCGTGGCGAGGGCCAACAACAACAAAACAATGATTTCAAGATTGTTCGTTCTTATCTTCTTGCGCATCGATCAACCTGCATATTTCGATACCCGCCCTTTTTGTCTTCGATCGTACCCTCCTTGAGGATATACCTTCCTCACTCTCGACGTGTAGTTGGCGCAGCCCCTAAAACAGGATAGAGAGAGAGAGAGAGAGAGAAAAAAAGAGAGAGAGAGAGAGAGAGATGATAATAAACAACAACAAATCAAGAGAGCGAGGAGGAAAGGAGAGCGGAAAGCTGGGGAGGAGGGAAGGGGCAATGGGGAGGGAGGAGAATGGAGCACGAGAGGTTAGCAGGAGGGGGGTCAGGACGGTCAGGACCTGAAAAACAAGCCGCAGAGCCAGACGGCTGGGTCGGGCGGGCGGACCCTACTGGGCGGGTCGGGCGGGCGGGCCCAAACAGCTGGGTCGAGCGGGCGAGTCGTTGAAGCGTGCGTCCTGCATGAATCGCCAGGAAGTGTTTAGCGATAGCGCGATTCTCAAGTGACTCGTGAGGAAGTCCAGAGCGAGAGCGTGATTCTTGAGTGCCGAGGGCGCGGCGTCTGAGCAAATGATTGGGATGATCAAAGCGGGAGCGCGATTTTGAATAATGTGTGGGGAAGTATCAGACGGGAGCTGCTGTTGTTGCCAATCGGGGGGCCTGTTTCCCCAGGGCCGGCCTGTCGTCCCGAGCATGGCATTCGATTATCTCGGGGGCGCTCGACAAGGGCCTCCAGGATTCGAGCAAACATCGCCCAAGGAGCCTCCCGTCGTGATGCTGTTTGGGGGCGCGAGGTGTGGCGGGGTAGGGTCAAGGCCCCCCTCCCTTCATGAGGTGATAGTTTTTTACTCGTTGTTTTGCCGATCGGCGCGGACCCTCGCTCCCCCCCCCCGCCCCTCCCCCCCCCCCCTGGAGTAGATCTTGGTGGCTGTTTCCTGTTTCTGGGCGCCTGTTTCGAGCAGGTGGGGCCTCCCCTCCCCGATAATGGACGCACTGCTGCAAACAGGCGCACTAAGCAGAGGTCCGGAGCCAGACCCCCTCCTCCCCCCCCTCCCTCCCAATGTCGAAACGCCGAACAGAAAACGCTCACATGGTGATGCTCCTCCCTCCACGCTGCCCATGCTCCTCCCCGCTCTTCCAGTGCCAGTGTATCGGCAGGTGGCACAGCCCATCGTTCCTCGCTCGAGGGCCGCTCTACGGTCACCGCCCGCCGCTCTCGCCGGTCGCAGCCGCTCTGCGACGGGTCCCAGGCCAGGCCGACAGGGGGAGGATGCAGGCTTTTCGAGAAGCAGGAGGCAGGAGGAAGGGAGGAGGGAGGAGAAGGGATGAGGCGGGAGGGGGGGGGAGGAGAGGAGTAGGACGAAGGAGGAAAGGAGGAGGAGGAGGAGGAGGAGGAGGAGGAGGAGGAGGGAGGAGGAGGAGGGGGGAGGAGGAGAAGGAGGAGGAGGGAAGGAGGAGGAAGCTCGAGGCTCGAGGGTGCCGTCGACGTCGCCCTCGCCGCCAATACGCCCTCGGTCGCGCTCTTGGCCCGGCTCTCGCCGCCGCCGCCAGCGGTGCCGCTCAAGGATCGCAGCCGACGTCAACGTCGTCGCTCTTCGCCACCCACACCCCCTCGGTCGCCACCTCCCGCCGACGCTCGCCGCCTGCGGCGCCCGCTGCCGTCGGCGCGGCCACCGCCGCCGTCGTCCTGCGGACTTGTCGTTCGACCCAGACGGGCTTGCGCCGCGACGAAAAGCACAACGGGAGGCCTCAGTTGCCCTGAGGCGCCTGTTATGACGCGCAACACGTGCCGTGTTCAAAACGTCCGTGTTGACACGCTGCGTGTTGGCAGTCGGCACGTGTTGGTCCACTTGTTGCCGAACGTATCGCGCCAGACCTGCGTTTTCAGTCTACGTGTTGAATTCCGTGCAATGTGCCACGTGTTGCGCGTTGCTTATCGGGGCAGCTAAGCGGGAGGTCTTGGCCGTTTTCGGCTTCTCCCGGGCCTGGGAATCGTCAAAAGACGACTGGGAATGAAAAAAACCGTTCCCAGGGAATGGATCGGGACCTCTAGGGCTCGACGTTCTGGAAGAACCATGGCGCCAGGACCTCTGGGGAAGATGCAGGAGCGTTTAGGTTCCCAGCCTTTCTTGGGGTGCACTGTTCATGGAGACCTCCAGACTCCACTGGGAGGGAATCCTCTGGGCACCCCGTGCTCCCCCGAGCAATGCTTGCACTTAGGCCCTGTCACTTAGGCTTGCTGTTCGATCCCAGACCCCCGACGTCGTGCTATTTTCGCTGCGTCGACCCCCGGAGGTCTGGACCCCTTGCCCGGGACTGGTTTTCCATCCTGCGTCGCCTTTTGACGGTCCCGAGGCCCGGGAAGGACATCTGGGGGCCGAAAATAGCAAAAAACCTCGCGTCGTGGTTCTGTTCACAGCGCGAGGGGCTTTGGGTATCCAATGGGTCTGCTAAGGTTTCGCCCGGTGCCCGGTCGGCGCCCGGTCGTGGGCGCTTCGCGGGGGCCCCTTTGCGCTGGTCGGAGCTGCAGAGTTTTTGCTTTTGGGGCCCGGTTGGTGCCCGTCTCGCGGGCGTTTCACGGGAGACCGTGGGGCCCGGTTGGTGTGCCGAGCCTGCACCACATAGTTTGCACCCAGTTGTTGCATCAGACAGTTTGCATCTCATAGCTTACACCGTTAGCAGCACAGCGACATCAGATCCATAACGCTCCGCATAGATTGCAACACATGATATATTGTACGTCGAGTGTGCAATAACCTACTGTATGGGGCCCACGCTGGTTAACATGCTCTTCAGCATCATTACCATATCATCGGTGGTTGCTCTCAGTCGCAACCGTAGACCCATGACCTTTAGCTGTAGGGGAGCCGTCTTGAGTCCCTGCTTGAAGGCGTCCTTGGGCTTTTCTTTGTTTGGGGGTCATCTTGGGCCCTTTAAAAAAACCCACGAGGCATCCTTGGGGCCGTTCTGTGTTTCTAGGGCGATCTAGGCGAACACCCTGGTGTCGTCTCGGAGTCAAGCGTCGAAAATGCGACAGCGACTCGCCTCGAAGAACTACCAACACTATGTGTCGTGTTCTTTTCACCAGCTCACAAGAATTTGCCGTACCGTCTCGGGCTCGTCCGACGGACTGAGCGGAGCTGGCTGGAGACATCATAGAGGCGTTTAAGCTTTAGACGAGGCTCTCGAGAGGAGGTTCTACACGCCGTGCTCGGGCCGTGATAACAGGTTTTGTTCGCCGTCCGGTCAGATGCCGAAGGAGGCCGCAAGGCCCATTTGGCCCCATCTTGGGTTGTGAAGTGTTCGGCTGTTCGTCGGCGTGGGCCAAAACGCTCAGCCTTGGTAAATTGGGTGAGATCCCAGTTTGGATGTGCATCATCACTCAAATAAAGAAGTTTGGATGTGCATCATCACTCAAATGAAGAAGTAGGTTAGCAGCGTATCGCAGCATGGTACAGCGCTGCATGGTGACCGTATCATAGCATGGTGTAAATACCACTGCATGTCATAGCATGGAATAGCATTGGCTAGTATGCGTCAGCATAGCATGGCATGTCACGGCATCGACCATCGTGGCATGGCGTGTGCTAATGCATATTACACTTGTATAGTACAGCAGAAGCCTAGCCGCACCCAGCATAGCACAATATTGCATAGGTCAGCATAGCGTTGACTTGCACAGTACAGGATAGCAGCGCGTAGCAACGTATGAAATGTCATGACATAGCAC